TGGATCAAGTAAATATCAAAATACATATTAAGCCACTATACAATTTTACTGACAAATACCAGATTAGGGGGACAAGTGCTTATACAGTGGGGATTTATGCGGCATTAGACCCAAGAAAAATGCATATATCTGAAAGACCATGCATTGGATTTTGAACATGGCCATAATATGGCTAAATACAATGAGTACATGCGTCTCTGTTGTGTGAACCTTTCTCTTTCACTACTGTACAACACAATAACGGATCTGTTGCCATGCTAGAGGATTGTAGACACAGCGGTACATGACATTGTACCAGATGCAATTCATTTTCCCAATGATGCCAGAAGTTTTTCCACTCTTTCCATTTTCCTTTGATGCAAATTTCATAATTATATATTCATAATTATATATTCATAATTTGCTGAATTTTTAACATTTTCTTGGGTCTTGTGCCATATGAATCACCCTGCATGAATGTAGATATATGATAATAAAAATATACATATTCTTTTTTTTCACATTGTTTCTTTTATAGTGGGTGCAAGACTTGGTTAAACAATTTGAACAGGTCCAGATTAATAAAAAGGTTTGGCACCCCCCTTAATAGAGCATAATGCATTCAAAAATGTATATGAAATCATAAAAGCATTAAACCAATCTAGTACTATTTTACCTTGAAAGAAGTTAAGCTTTTAACAAAACCTTTTTTTCTTCAGTAAACAATGGAAGACATATTCAACCTACACCTCGTAAAGCATTAATTGATGTAAACAATGATGCTAGAGGTCAACTAGGAAAGGACTTTGGAACTAATGCATCCAAAGAAATGCTTTTTAACTCTGTTAAACCTTGCACAAAGATGTCTACAGGCATTGAGAATCTTCAACATGGTCCACACATGAAAAAGCCTGACTCAAAAAAGACATTATCTTTACAGGTATATGCTATTTCCCATTGCCTTTAAAAAAAACTATATTATATATAATACTTTATTGCTCGTAGCAGAACTGTATATTGCTATATATGTCAAACTAGTATCAAAATTAATGCCGAAAAAGGCTTTCTTTGGGTAAACTATAAATAGTAATACGTTAGGGATTTCCGCTGTGCTAAGAACCGCGCATTAACGCAACCCCGCTTTTAACGTGATCCGATTTTATGGACCCCGATCATCGCGTTATAGCAGGGTTCCACTGTATTTAGAGTTTAGTTTAAATGCTATTTTAATTTTGTTCCATCAGTTATTTGTTAGCAGACTTGCAAAAGGGGGGGGGGGGGGGGGGGACCGCACCGGTTGACACCATCTCAGGGGGGGACACCCAAATTAAAAAATGCATATTTGCACCCTCCTCGCTTTAGCTGAATTTCTGATTTTATGGACCCCGATCATCGCGTTATAGCAGGGTTTCACTGTATTTAGAGTTTAGTTTAAATGCTATTTTAATTTTGTTCCATCAGTTATTTGTTAGCAGACTTGCAAAAGGGGGGGGGGGTGCGGACCGCACCGGTTGACACCATCTCAGGGGGTGACACCCAAAGTAAAAAATGCATATTTGCACACTGCTCGCTTTAGCTGAATTTCATAAAAGTAAAAGGATAACCAATCACAAGTGAATTTTTCTCGCATGTAACCAATCTAAGTGATACCATGAAGGATATAAATTTTGATCAAGTGATTGGCAGGTTTGCAGCTTTGAAGACCAGGAATGGAAAAGTTTTTTAAAAAGTAAATTTAATGTAAATATAACCATGACTTAATGCTGTTTACAGTTCTTAAATACATGTTACCTTCTGACCTTCAACTAGTTTTTATTCCCGTTATTGTTATTCTGCGGCTTATTTTAATAAGAAGAAATCCATCATGGAATTCGGGGGAGGGGGGTGGCCCCATGAGTTTACCGCACCGGGTGACACCAAACCTAGCTACGCCACTGCTTGTTAAACAAAATATCATTCATGTTAATTGTAAAAATTATATTGCAGAAACATGTCTAAGCTATTAATGAGTATGCTCAACATATGATCTGAAAGAGTGTAGAGATTTCAAACAATTATTACATTTTTATATAACTAGCAGCCTCATGGAAAAGGCCTAAAGCATCACAAAGAATTTGGTCTCCAGCCATCTACAAAGAAACCTGAGAGACGACAGAAACGGCAACACCCACCCACACATATAAGTGATGAAGAATGTAGGTTTGAAAAGTTTTGTTTTCAGCATTATATAATGTTTCATTTCCTATTTGGTATATTGTATTGAAATTTAATCCCTTATTAAAAGTACTGTATTTAAAAGTTAAATAATGCTGATTGGACTTTTTGTTTCAAATATTTTGAAAATTTAATCTCTTTAATTTTATTTGCTCTGAATCTGTTTTAAGCTCTCTTTTTTTTTAGGTTGACAAATTATTAAACTATCTTGTATATTTGGAATGCATAAATTTGACTTATTTACAAGCAATTTTTAAAACCAAAGTACTTTCATTAAGCTTTTTTTTTTACTAATAGACCACTTTTCTCAATTTTGTTCTTGCCCATTTAACATAATTGTTCCCCATATAAGATCAAATAACTTCATTTACTAAAATTGCTTGTCTTGTTAGCATTTAAATCATTTTTTAATAAACCTTGCAATATCACCCTTGAGCAACTTAACTAAATCTGCATAAAAATTATTGAACAGATTATTCTAATCAATTATAGATTTAAAGTTTTAAAGTAGATTGATTCACATGTTAACTAACCTTAAACTAAGTTCGATCTAAATTTGTTTGTCCTCAGATGATTCGGACACTATCATGCCTAGACATGAACGTTTGAGCACTTATGTTGACAAATTACTTGCCTGGCGACCACCTTGTCTGTTTGGGACAATACCTGACAGTGAATCAGATAATGAACCAGACGATCTACTGAATGATGATATAATAAATATTCCTCTTACAATGATTGAAGGTTAACATTTTTAACTCTTTTTGTCTCCTTCAACTTTCATGGGATTAGGTTTTACCTTTTTATTTAAAAATGAATTTTATCTACTTATTTTATCACTCAAAATATTATTCTTACATATTAGGTTTCAAAGTGCAGCAATCTTTAGTATAATATGAAATTTATATAGAGTCAGCATCAATAATTTGTGAATAACTTATATTTATATTGAATTTTGTTTGCGTTTGTTAATTTCTGCATTTAAATGCTCAACAATGTAAGTATTACAGTTCCTTAAAAGATTCTCAGTTAAAATTATTTTTATCCAAAAGATCATTGATGGAAAGTCAGACCCATTTATTTTTCACTATTCAATACTGTAAGCGCTAGAATCAAGTCCAGTACTCATGTGAATTCCTTATTTTAATTGAAATAATTGCTTATAAAAAGAATCAAACATTCAATAGACTTGTACAGATATTAAAAGTTAAGTACTGAGGTATTTCAATCTTTAAAGACAAGGATAGGGACTACAGAGAGAGATCAAACTAAATAAAATAACTTAGAGCTTTTTATTTCTTTGATTCACAGTGCCTCAGTTTAATGAGACTGATCTTGACAATTTAATTGAGGACTTGCCTCCATTAGAAACACTGGATGATGAAACTGAAAGTGCAGAGCAAGACAGAGTAGTGTTTGAGCAAACACCAGACACTTCCTTATCATTGGGTGGTTTGTATATGCTTAATGATTCCATTATGGAAACTTCAGGCTATTAAGAGTTTTGTTCATCTTAAGTAAGGGAAAAATATTTTTTTAAATGACACCAATTTCCAAGTTCTTATGGCTCATATAAAAAATGTCGGTTTAATAAGAGTATGCAATGCTGTAATTTTTTTTATTAGTTTATTTTCATACAATTTTATTTTATTTCAACTGAATAAATTATAGATAACTAATCTTTTTTAAGATATATAAATTAGGACTACCCATTAGTAAGCTATAATGAAATTTTTCTATATATCTGTAGAATTTTAATATTTGTTTTTACAATCAATATAATTTATGAATTCTGAATTTTATTTTTCAAAGATTGAGCAGAAAATATTTAATTAAATTGTTTTTAGAACATACTAACAATAACCCTTTTCTAGTCATTCATTTACTTGTATGAGTTGAAGATTTTTTTGTCAAATTAAAATGTTAATAACCAGTAAAAGTTTCATCTCATGATTTAACATAATTTTTTTTAGCCTAGGTCCTCTGATGAATCATATATCCAAATATATAGCTTAAAATTATTTTTTGTAAACAATTTTCAACAGCCAGATCTGCCAAAATTTGTACTAATGCTGTTATAGTTTTTAATTACTTACAGTAAACTCAAGTAATCATCAATATTATGATAAAAGTCTATGTTCCTGCTAAGAGCAAAAGTAATAATATTGGTGGTTTTTATGTCATCTCTTTTGAAAAACAAAAACAAACTTGGACATAATTTAGATAACTTTCATTGGTTGGAAAGTATCTTGTTTCTTTTTAAAATTTCAAATGAAATTGTTCAATAAATTTAATTCTTGAACTAGTAGTAAGGGATGAAATTTAAAAAGTTATTATTTTATTGTTATATCAAGAAGACTTTTTAAAAAATAGAGGCTAAAGATTAGTAACATTGGGGGGGGGGGGGGGTAAATGTTTAAAGAGGTTGTCTAACAGATGTACGGAGTGCAACCTCTTTGAAACCTATATTTAAAATTTTATACAAACAAACAAATCAAACTTTTTAAAAATCTATTTGCACAATGTCTTTGGGTCTCACAAAATAAATTTGGTATTGTAAATACAATTTTTTTAAAATGTGGCATTAAATGATCAATTAAAATTTGTTTTCTTCTTACTTATTTTGACTTTAAATGTTATTTTATTTTTTATGTTTCTTTTTATACCAATAAAAACTTTTAAGAAACATGCATTCAGTTTAGTAAAATCAATTACAGTAATAGTCCAGCAAACTTTAATTTATGGTCAGGATGTGTTTATCTCCTCTTTATATGCTCTCACAACCATATCAAAATATTTCAAGACCTATAGTTATGATTATTATTATAAGTAAGAATTTATTGAAACCATTTCTAACTTAAAACAAGGTTTTAAAGATATCTAATTACCATGGCATAAAATAATGCTTACATTCACATACTTAATTAATTTCAAACAACACTATGCCATTAAATTATGTGATCAATAGATCCGTAGTTACATTATTACATTAAATGCAAAATATCATTTCACCTGTCAACATGAGTATGAGCAGTATATTAATGCACAAAATAATTGGTTCATCTGTCAATTATATATATGTAGGAACAGTGAGAGCATGACATAACACAAAGACAGTTGCCTGAATTAGTATTAGGTCTAATATTCCTAACCATCAGATAATGTGGACAAAGAGCCAAACTATATATATAATTATATTTATACAATGTTGTTACATCTATAAATGTCACATGTTTTGGGGTGGGGGGGGGTGGTTAACAATATGTCTAATTTGTCTTAAAAAGAGTTTTATTACCTCCGATTATTAAATTCAAGGTTATTATAGAGTTGCTTATCAAGATTTAATATTACATATATAGCCCATTGAATGATATATTTCTGTGAAACAAAAAAGTTGAACATAAAATACTTGAGTAGTTGTGTACATATCAAATAGTACAATCCCATTTGGTGTCAATATCATAACTTTAATTTAGCATGTAGCTATATTGAAATCAGTGTTTTAGACACACATATACACACAAAAGTTCATGGAAAAACTGTATGTAGATATGTTATTTACACACTGCAAAGATTCCAAGGATAGATAACAAAATGTCAACACTCAATTAGAAAAGCATTTAGATGTTCAATTTCTACACCCCACTCTTAACCAGGCCATTAAGCTATATTTTGTTAAATGAATTTACCAAAATAAAATACATATTAATAATAATAAAAAATATCATGGAGTTTCTCTTAGTGTGTTGGCACTAGGCAAGAATCTTTTTTTTTCAGGTCCTAAAATTTAGTAAAATAAGATAAAAAAATTCTGGTTTCAAACAATAAAAATCAATTTTAATGGGAGGCAAAATAATTTTAGTTTTATTTTATGAAAAATAAAATTTTGACCGTCTTGTTAAATAAACATTTAAGGCAAGTGAAGAGAGTTCTTCAACAAACAAAAAATTGACAACATAAGTTATTGCTTGCAACTTTGGTATTTGGGATATCCTGGTAATTATTATCATAACACATTACAAGATAATAGATACCTTTTGTTTTGTTTAAGAAATGAATGGCTATAGAAAGTAACTAATATTTTATATTGGTTATGTTTGACAGCCATTCCTATATTAAACGTCCTTTAATTGGACACATTCTTTGTGCCTGTCAAATGTTTTATATTCATATTCTTTATTGTTGACCATAATAATACTCAAAGTTATATAAGTAGAGAAAATAAACAAAGTGCAAAATGAATATACGATTTAAAAAAAAAAACTGGAGGAACTGGTAACATTTGTACCTTAATTAATGACTGGTGCTACGTGTCTTGCACAGCTGAATTTTTTGAAACTTTGCAGCCATACTTCCAAAACAGATAAAACTGTGCCAGGCCAAGCAATATTCCCAATGCGTTTGGAATCTAAAAATAAAATTTTACTTTTTGTATAACTAATAATACATTTTTTTTCAATTCTGAGAACAGGTTAATTTAACATTATCCCATTTCTTTTATAACAAACAAACCAAAAAAAATAAACAACATAAATTTATTTTATTGATAAACCAGAGTTCTACAAGCCTTCAGGTAATGGAATGGGGGCATCATGGATAATTAAGAAATAGTTCATATATGAACGATTTTGAGGTTCAGCCAGGTAATGGTAAATAACAATTACATTGACAATATGAAGGTAAACCCAGCAATGGTGTTCTTTGAATTAAATATAAGACCTTATGTGTATGGTAACCGCCCTAACCATCTGTAAGATTATAGAGAAATGAAAACAAAAAACTCACCAAAAGAACATTATCTTTAATGGCTGCACCATACATTGTCCATTGAAGAGAACTAAGGAAATTGACAAAGCATAATGGAAAGGAAATAGATTCTGTAGATTTGTGTTCAATAACTTTTGACTGAAATATTTAATTAAATATTAATAAATATTTTGTAATGCAATTTTTAAAAATAATCATCAAATATATAAAGTTGACTTTGTATATTGAACCAATTTATACCTATAAAAATAAAAGATCAATAGAAAATTTGTCAATATCCTTTAATTTCAATAGTATCTCTATTGACATTTCAAATTAACTTATGGCTATTGGAAATGCTTTTCAGCTTCAGTAAAGTTTACTTGCCAAAGTGGCTAGTGGAGAAGCATTGCACATTATGCCAAGACCCGAACAGTACAGGCCAAGATTTCTTTTAGCTTTATCAGCATCAACCTCATAATAAGTTACATACACCAGTGGAAGTGATAAAATAATTATTCCAATGACCAGCATTTGATGGATAAGTTGCTGCAATGATAAACAAAAATAACCACATATTAATTATGAGATGGGATTATTTTTATTTTTACAAATTCTGAGAATTCTAAATATTTTTTAATATTTTAATTAACTTCACTGTTGTTAGTAACTGGCTGGCAAAAGCTTTGAACAGCTAATTGACCCACTTGCCATCAACCTATCAAGCTGAAACATGGCACATAGACTGGGTGCCAATGACAACAACTTCTATCAAATTTTCAGCCCCAACTGCCAACTCCCAAAAATCATTTTCTCCTGTTTTTCAAGGGGAAGATGAAGGAAATATAATGCCATTGATTTTTAGCAAAAGAAAATTCCCGATAACTGCTAAATTAGATTCTTTTTTAAAAAATTGCAAATACCTTTGATGTGTAATATTTTCATTTTTTTCCTCTTCAAATATTTGGTAAAATAAATCTGCGGCATAAAAGCAGGAGGGAAATTATTATATCACCCGGTATCTAATAAAATAATAAAAAATGCAAATAAAGGATTTGTATGAAATATTGTGTTTTTAGGGGTTGTTTAATTAAATTCTTAAGTACTGGGTAAATGAAAATTTAGAAGGCTTTTTTTTAAAAATCCAACAAGAATGGCCATCTTTTTAAATAAGTTTGTTCATGACCACCAGGCTGAGCTTTTACTTAACTGGGACTATCCTCATATGCATTAGTTGAAATTACCATTGCTCACAAATTATAAATCAGTTGCATTAAAACCTAAAAATGATTCAAGTTTATAACTAAAATGCAAAGTAATCTATTTTTACTTTCTCTGGATAAAAAAAAATTAAACTAAACTTTTTTCTTTTATTAAGGCTGTACCAGAATTTACATTTTGAGGTTTAATCCATTTTACCTTTTTTTTGGAGTATACATAGTATAAACAGATATAAGAGAATTGGAGAATAGTTCCTAGTCCACTGGTAAGTACCACATTAAACAGCTTTAACATCAGACCATACTTGAGCCAAATACATGTGCTAAAAAGGAAAATGCTTTTAATTATTTCATTTGTTTCTACATCATATGAAATTTGTAAAAGATTATGTGTAACCTTATGTTTCGAAGCTCTTTTTAATTTTGTTTTTGAGTTTAAGTGGTAGTGATTTTCAATCTCAAATAAAGGGAAGCTTTGAATAAAGCCAAAATAATAATGGGAGGAAAAGAGGTGACAAGTATTGAGTTATGCAAATGTATATTCATTATATATTAGTAAAGACTTGTAATAAAACTACCGGTACATGTATTTGAACTGCGATAAAACATTTTACATTTTACTCTCACAATAAGATAACTTTAAGCTAAGTAGTAAATAATGGTCTTCAGTTGTTCATTATCATTGATAAAATAGTATATAACCTTTCAAATAATTTATTAAAGCTAAATAAATAACGAGCATTTCATTACCAATTTATATATGATACAAACCTTACAAAGAAAGCAATGAATGGCGCTGGTGAAATTTCACCTGTACCCCCTTTCCGTACAATGTGAAGACAAATTTCACTGAAAAAAAAACCTATTATAATGAAATATTATTTTTCAAAAAATGTTCTTATAGTAGCATCAGGCAAAAAACAACCATAATATTGTAATAGGGTTTCATTGGTGTGAGAAAGGGACACAAATTTTAGGTTTACTTTTTCATACCAATTGAAGACCTCAACTTTTACAATACATCTATACCAGTGGTGGCCAACCTTTTTGACTACGTGGGCCAAAAAAATGTTTGTCCATGAAGCAGAGGGCCGCACATGACATCTCAAAAGAAAGATTTTATATTTTAGAAAATTATTCACATTATTAATATGGAGTACTTCACATCAAATCGGGTCCTTAAGAATAAAAATAAAGCTAATAAAAACTGTAGCCCTTTTAAATGATAAATTTTGCTTTGAATTTTACTTGCAATTTTCTTAATTTGAGTTATCAGTAGCACCTGCCCTAATAAAATTTTCTAAATGTATGCATTACATTTTTTTGACTTGATTTTGGTCATTACAGAGAATCCAAGTTCACTAATGTAGAGTGCTTCCAAAAACATGGTCAAAATTTTGTTACGGTACAATATTTCCATAATTGTGGAAATTCATCAGAAGAAACTTAAATCATCCAGAATTTATTTGGCCATGCATTCTTATGTTTGTTTATTTTAAAAAATACTTTCAAGAATTATTCCTACTGTCTCTCACAATTCCTCCCTGACTGAATCCACTAACTATAAACAAACACAGCTTGTATCCTGAAATCTACTCAATGAACATCTCATACTCAGATCTCTGAATACCGGTACCAGGTACTTGTCCCCAAAGTCACAACAATACAGGATGGACACACACCCTCCCATACCTGGCTAGACTACATGTTTAAATAGCAAGGTCCCATAAATGGTTCACACTGCCAATTGTAGTCATTCAATTGGGACACATTTATTACCCCAGCTCACAACTTGAATACTCTGACCTGAAAACTTTTGAGTCATAATATTACCACCCCACAAAGCGCAGTAGTTAACTCACAATACTTACCTACCTATATCATCTAATTTGGTCCAGTTGGTGGGAGCATGAACATTTTTACAATGACCAAAAAGCTATATTTCAAGTTACTTTTGGTTTCACTATTCATCTTTATTAACGCCTTTAGTACAAGCAACAGAAGGAAGGAAACTATTGTATCCGATTTTATATCACACAGTTTCCCAAATGTTTGCTCTGCTGCTGTGCTTAACATAAATTACTGCTACCCGGTACCTGTCAAGCCATCCCTCTCCTTAGCTTGTGACCCCACCCTTTACATTATTTACAAGGTTACATCTTCTCCTGTGTTATCACATAATTTCCCAACAAAACTGTATCAATGAATGTCATTTGAAAATATTTTTACCCTAAAATTTTTTACTTTTTACACACATTAAAAATTCTCAAACAGTGGTGGGCCATTTCAAATCAGCCAGCGGTCGGACATCACTGATCTCTACAATCATTACTTTTATATATGATCCAAGACAGTAAAAAATGAGTCTACTTCAATTTAATTTAATTTACAAAACACCATAAAATAAGTTAATCAATATAAAAAATATTTATGAAAAACCAAACGGAACTAAGCAGATTAAATAATTTTAAAAAGCTATTCACTCATGAAGGACTACAATAATCTCCTTAAATTTTTAACAGCTATATTATTTTATAGATTGTCACATTTAAATGAAAAGGAAAATTGGAAGTAGGTTAGGTCACTTACATGCCTATGAGTTGACATAAAAATGATGTAACAGTAGCTGTAACAGCAATAATTGATGTCAAATCCATACGAATGCAATGTGTAAGGCGCAACGAAGGTTCAATTCACTCAGTCCACTTCATTTCTATTTCTCAAAATAAGAACAACAATGTTGTATAACAATATATGTAGGCTAATACTAATTTCCTTTATATAGTCTATATCAATATAAAAAGGAGCACTTGCAAATAAGTAAATTTTAAATCCCCCCCCCCCCCCCCCCAAAAAAAAAAAATTTTAAACCCCCCCCCCCCCCCCCAAAAAAAAAACATACACTAATAACAGGTAGTGTAGCCTATGCCTTTTATATGTATACCACTACTATTAATAATCCGTAGTTGGTGTAGAAGTAGAATAGATTGAGACTTAAATTTTAGTTAAATAAAGTTTGAGGTTGGGAGCCCCTGCATTATTATTAAATTATTAATATTAGTATTAAACTTTTTGACTTAAAAATTATGTTTTTGAATTTTTGAAGACATATAAAGTAAAGTAAATATAATATTATAATTGATGCAATTCAACTTAGGGACGGGGGGGGGGGGGGTAAGAATTTGCGAGGAGTGTGATAAATGAAAATGTGTCTAATTTCAGAATTCGTGTTACAATACAATTTTTTTGATTTTGTGGGGAATCTGCCAAAATAGCGTGATGACTGATTCTGATGTCATAACTATACTATATAGAATATAGCCTATAGTGTTAGTGTTGTTATTACTATCTAAGATCTATTATTGGAGTACCTTTACCTTTACTTATATTTATTATATCTATTATTATCTATAGACTCACTTAGGAACTGTTGTCAATCAGTCAAGTGAGTGTCACTCTGTCATAGTGTGGCTGTATGTAGTGACATCACTTTACCAATAATAAAATAATATTTTAAACATTTTCTAACTAGTACCGGTAACTAACACAAATAAAAGTGAACAGCAATACGTAGTAATTTTAAGTAACATGCATTTGTGACACTCTCCGGAAGAAGAAATTTATAAATCATGTTCCTATCAGGCCTACCACACCTTGGGAAATTTCCCAAGATCTTGGGAATTCACGACTCCCCTTGGGATCTGGGGAATAATTTTGAAAATCAGGCAAAACCTTGGGAAATCTTAACTGGTGGGAAAATTTTATTATATTTTTCGAAAAAACGCAACAATATGTGATAAAAATTAAGTGAAAATAAAGCAAAATAATTTTTAAAGTAACAAAGCAAAAAATTAATTGTTTTAATTTTCTTTTCTGGTTTTAAATTTTAAATCCACTCATCAAATAAATAAAAACTCTTCTGATATTAAAGTTATTATTATTGCGAATTGTTACAAAGTTAATAATTAAAGAAAAATTCAATTTTCTCTTCTATTTTTTTTAAAATTGAAGATGCACAAATTACATCCAGGTTTTAACTGTTTATTAAAGGGGGGGGGGGGGGGAGGCTCGAAAACTTTATCATTAGGCTATTTATTAGACATTAGCAACCATACGAAAAACAGTAAAAGCCGAAGAGTGAACGATAGTAGTGTTCAATCAAGGATCCATGCCATAGTAAAATTTGATTATTTCAATTACTCATACAATGTATTCAAAATATAATGCATCTGTAAAAAATCCAGCCTAATTTTCATCAATTGGAAAAAAATATTTGTGGAATGAAACACAGGTAGATCTAACTAAGACACTAAAAGTATAGGCCTACGTTGTAGGATTATAAATGAACAATACATTTAAAAGTATGTTATTTTGTTGAAAAAATCGTTATAATATAAATTTACAAGAAAAAAATAAAAATACTTATTGTTTTCATAATAATATCAATCCATTTTAACTACAATTATTATTAATAAATTTTGCTTCATTGCTTTGCAAACCCCACTTCTAATCATCAGACTTACAATAAGAAAAATCATGTTTTGATGAAGAACCTTTTGCCTTTGTAAAAGGAATTCTGTGTTGATTAGCCTTGTAAGCTTTGTTTCCAAGTGACTTCTATTACACATGTATTGTAGATGATATTTTTACCAGAGAATTCGGAGGTAATATTTAGTAGCCTAACTTCAGTGGGTATTGATATTTTGGATTATAAATTATTTTTTAAAAAACAAATTGTATGTTTCTTTTATGTGATAAACATTTTTAAAATGTCTTTTTCAATAAATTTCAAACAATTAATGTACCATGTTTTTCATGGGCATTAATTCAATCTATTATTACATTAATTACATAGAAAAACCCTTTTTTTAAAAACTCTTATATATTTTTATGATCTTGGAAAATCTTGGGAAATTTGTTCACCAAATCTTGGGAAATTTTAAAATGTGAGTGGCAGCCCTGGTTCCTATGAAAGCGGAAGAGTTGAGACAGAAAACGAAAGGAAACGGTAACACGCTTCTTTACATAAGTGTAATTTAATTTAATGTTGAAGTTTTGTACCCGCATTTCCCATGTACTAGTATTTACATCTTTTTGGGGGAGGGAGGGGAGTAGATGGGTGTTTGGGAGGGAGGGGTCGTTCTTTAGTTCTTTAGACATTACTCATTTATATTCATTCATCGAAATATAAATAAATTATGACTTACTAAAACTAAAAACGCCTAACAAATCTCACATCACTTAACTTAATCACTTTCTCTAATTCATATTCATATAACTTTTTGCACTCAATCTTCTATTATAATATGACTTCAAATAATAAATAAGTTCTATAATTATCACACGAATAGTAAGTAAGTATTTTAAAAGTAATAACATTTTATCATTTTAAACTTCAATAGTTTGAGACTTTGTCTTTGATTTTTTCATTTAACAGTGTGTGTGACATTTTTACATGTGACAGTGACATCAGTGTGTACTGTTAAGTCCTTAAGCCTTAATAAGTTACTGGAACTTGCAATTAGTGAATCTTCTCGCTCAAGTCTAAGCAATGGCAAAATCCAAGAAAAATAGACAAAAAGACTTTCAGAAAGTGAAATTTAAAGTAGGTAAAAAACTTCCTAAAGGTGACAATGTCACAAATTTGAGTTTCAAGACAAGACAAATTAAGTTGACACAGAGAATCAAGGAAGACGATGGTCAGAAACCAGTCACTAAAAACAAATTGGGTATTCAGGTATGATTTCTGAAATCATTTAAAGTTTAAGCTAAGTATCAATGTTAATGTTAATATTTTTAAGTAACTTGAAATCAAAACCCTTTTTTTGGTATCTTTTTATTATAAGATATTAATATAGGCATAGGCCTAAATCAGGGGTCTCAAACTAAAATCATCCGGGGGCCGCAGGAGTAGAGTCTGATTGAGACTGGGTCGCATCAAGTATTTCACACAAAAATCGAATACAAATTCATTAAAGTACAACTGTTACAATCTGCTCAACCTCTATTAATAACAAATAAAACATTAAGGGTTCTCAAGAACTAGGCTTCACTTTCTTCCTCATACTCCTTGTTGCCAGAGACCTGGTAGCGCTTCTTTTAACACAGCTGAGCAACATTTGGCTTGAGTGCAGCTCAGTGCAGCTTAAGGATGTTCTTTAGTAAGTTTGGTCCTGAACTTTGACTTCGTAGTGGAAAAGAGCTTTTCACACAGAAAGGTACTCCCAAAAAAGGCACATAATCCGCTTGAACAACCTGGAAATCTCGGGGAATGTGGAGGGCAATGCTCTCATAAATTGTCAGTTTTTCCATTCACCTCTCTGAATTTAGAATTGCACTGACGATCAATCAGCTCCAGTTGAAGCGCAGGGGGGCTTCTTCCACATTGAAGGAGAAAGGATCAGCAAAAAATTGAAAAGTGGCTCTGAGTGTTTTGAAGTATGAAACATGTGATCAAATTCTTCCTGTAGCTTTGCAATGGCATCAGTATACTTACAAGTGAATGGTGTGCCTGAGTCCATGAGTACTTTGCATGTTGGGAAATGGAAGAAGTTTCTCTAAGAACCATAACACAAGTTTTGTGAAGAATGCCCTGAAATTGTCATAGGCAGCACTGACAAGCTACCCCCTGGTCTTGTAACTTCTTGTTGAGTACATTCAGCTCCTGTGTAATGTCAACAAGAAAAGCCAAGTCCATGATCCATTTGGGATCACTTAGTAAAGGAACAACCACCCTATCCTTCTCCATGAAGGCTTTAAATGCTAAAACGTACTCAAACAGACGGCAGGAGCAGGCCATATTTATTAATTATTGATGTGAAGAGAGAATAAATTTTTATTTTTTTTTATTAGCAAAGGCCTTTTTGACTAACGCTATTTTGAAAGTAACCAAGCTGACTGGCTCGAAATTTCCCACACTAATCACTCATACACATTAGCAGCAATTTTACTAGAGATTCTTTGATACTGTGTCAGTCAGATTGGCTACGAATTTACACAATTATATACACAATATTTACAATAATTGAATTTTTAAACCATTCTTAAACCCGCACTTTTGCCATGTTTGTCTCATAAAATGATATGAAATAAAAACTTTTAGTCCGATTTTAAAACGGTTTTTATCATTATAATCAACGTCCAAATCTATACAAACATAATAAAATCAGAATTAGACTAGGCTGAGATTCAATTGAACCCTTCCCGGAGGGTCACACTATAGATATGAGAATGGGGAAAACGCTGGCCGCATTAACATTAAACTTTGCTGTGATGTAGCGGGCTGCTAAATATCGTGTGCGGGCCGCGAGTTTGAGACCCCTGGCCTAAATGGTAGCACAGTTAATTGTGATGTGTATCAAAGCTAATCTGTATTAACTGGTTTTAATATTTTTCAGGACTTGTTACGTCAGTGTGATCACCATAGTAGCAGTGCTCGTGTAAATGCTGTTTGTGGGTTAAAGGAGTTGTGGCTGAACAACACTAGTGATCTGCTGATACCTACTAATGTTAATGGTTATGGAGTTATTCTTAAAAAATTATCAACTCTTCTGATAGACAATGAAGCAGTTGTTAGACATACTGTGATTAATTTGTTTAAGGTATGTTAACATTTCTTTAATGTAATTAACTTTTCCCCCCCCCCCCCCCCCTATATATACATATATATATATATATTTTACTCATCTGTCCTTGTCTGGTTAACATATCTCTACTTAGAATTTTAATAATGAAGCTCTAGTATTGTTACCTTAAGTTGTATCTACTTTTCTACATGGTACCTTTAAAGTAAATCTAATACAAAACAAACTGTTTAGGCAGTTAGGTATTATTTACTTTGTTTCTGTCTGGTTTTTAACACCCACTCCTATTATTTCTCCTTTTTTAGGTAGGATATATGCATATATATATATACTATGAAAAATTACTTTATACTTATTTAAATGTTTTGTTGTTAAACTAATGAAGACATGTGCTGAAACGTCTATTTGTGTATTATGTAAAATTATTATTAAAGCTTATCATATATTGTTATATTTACACAAATTGTTCGTGTCTAATTAATCTATGGCGTTTAGGTAATTAACTATACATTTTTTCTCTGCTTTAGTATATTTTGTATTTCATGTTAGAAATAACTAAATATATAGTTTTTGTCATTTTTTTAAATCCTCAGCTGATACTAAATAGACTCGCTGTCAAGAGTACTGAAGATAATATGAACAGACTAGCTGGAAATTTATTCACACACATTCATGCCTTTTTGTGTTGTGCAATGAACCATGTCCATGAGGACATAAAACTGGATGCTCTCCTTTTATTTGACACCCTTCTTGATACTTTTCCTCTGTTAATGGTTCAGCAAACTGGTGACCTGATGAAAAATCTGATTGGATTAATATCCACTCCTGTTTATCTTGGAACAAAGGGAAATGCTACCACGCAGCGATTGAGTCTGAATCCAGACAGTAAACTTCCTGCAATGAAGTTTAGGGCAAGAGTTCTGCAGAGAATGAAGAAAGCATTTATGGTTTGTATTTTGAATATTTGTTGAAACTCATAATCAAATGTTTATATGTGACCTATGTTGTTCATCCTTTGCACATGAAGATGACCAAGGCAATTTTCCACTTGAGTAGTAGCCTTGACTGAGTTGAAATTTGCTTAAAATGAAGGAGAGTCGCTCAATTCGTCAGCCTTGCTCTCTCTTCCTTGCCTATTTGATCCATTGGCAAGACATAGTCAAGACGACTGGAAATGGACTAGGGTGCGTTCTACGTCGCAGGAGTTTTCAGAATTTTCATTTTGTCAATGTCTTAACGCCTACTGGACTCCATCTCGGGGTTTGATTTAAGAATTTAGCTTCACTTAGATGAGAAGCCGTACAAGTTGAACGAGTCCCATTCACCCAGGGTGCTGGTAATTTATTTGCTCGTCTAGGCGTTTTCTGGGGATCAAACTCCAGTCCACTAGCTTGGGATTGACTCAGTTTAGACCCCCCCTCTGCCACCCAGAACTAATCAGTCAAAAGCTGAAGTTTTCAAAATTATTGCAATGATTGTTTTAGCCTAGTGCCTGTTTTAAATTATTAACTTACTTTGCATGGTTTTAAAAAAAATAAACTTTTTTAATATATATTTATATTTTTAGAATAACATTTTAAATGTATTTATAAATTAAATTGAAATCATAGGAAGCTTTGAATGATGATACAAGAAAGAGATGTTTCATCACAAACAATTTAGAAAACAGCCAAGATACATGGAGCTCTTTTCCAGTCAGTCAAGCAAGACATGACACATGTTTTGCTTCACAAGACACTGGGATTAAATTTTCTGTACTTTTTTCTGGAGGATGGTGTGTATAGATCCCATAAATAATATTTTCTTAAGATTTTTAAGCTACGAACTGTGGCATGCATTATTCTGTGGTGTGGAGCTTTTCAGAGCAATTTGGGTGACATTTGAAATTGCATTAAATGACAGAAATTTTGATAAAATACCCCAATAAGTATATATTTTTAGAAAGGTAAATTGGATTGGGATAAAGTTGGCCGTATTGCCCAGCCAATAAAAAAATTTTGCTCAGTGTCCTTGGCCTTGGAATTCTCAAGAGAAAAAAAAAATCGACAAAATGTCTTGCTTTCAAGTGCTCATAACCTCATTAATTTCTATAGATACACTTAAAACACAAATCTAAATGCTGTAGCCAATTCATTTATCTTTCAGAAAATGTATAGTTTGCTAAGGTTTTGATTGCCATTAAACATCTGGTCATTTATATAAGAAACTGGGGACCACTGCTAAAATTAAGTACAAAATACAAAATCTCAGGTAAAATAGTTATTATTTACTAGTAAACATTTAAAAAGGAACTGTGGAACTGATTTGGTTTGTTTAACTATAAAATTTATTAGTTCTGAACTATAATCTGTAGATTCTGTGACTTAAATTCAGTCAGTCCTTGCCCAACCTCCGGGCCTGGCTCAAAGTCTAACAGTAGCCTCAGTAAGCCTACTTCAGTATCACTAAAACTAGTAAAAACTTCACGAAAAGAATAATCTCAACTGTTATCGTCATGAGGAATGTTAAAATCAACATCAGTATCACTTAAAACCTCTCCTAAAAAGCTTTCAAACATATTTCTATTAGTTCTTGCACCGGAGACCCATCCATAGCGTCATCCATTTTAGTTTTAAAAAAAAAAACAGCGATATAAAACTCCGATTAAAAAGTATTTATTTTCCCGTTACCACGAAACAGTTTGAACCGGAAGATGATTTAATTATTAATAAAAGAAAGTGGCTATAATTCCGGTTAAATATCGGATTGGAAGTTGCTTTCAGACCATATTTTTTATTGGCCGATTTTTTCGACCGCCACAGTAAAGAACGAGAATGTCGGCCGATTTTCGGCCAACCACAGTTCGTGGGTTAACCCTTCACTCTTCCACACTGTTTTCTTTTTTTTTTGCAGACACAGTCGTTTTATTATGTCACATCAGTTGAGGCTGTTTATTGCTGCTTAAATTTTTTAAGTATCAAAATTATAGTGTAGATATATTAAAAATTGGTCTAAGTTTTAAAAAGGTATTTTGTATTAAAACTTAAATTGTTTTTTTAATATTTGTTTTAATTGTACAGCCATGATTTAGATGACTACATTACAAAACCATCTAGTCTCGAATCCTTCATTAAGTTGTCTGTTCCGGTGCTTTTACAGTGCTGGAAAGAGGCACGTGCAAGTGTCGATGAGCATTCTTCATCTGGTAAATATGTCCCATAAATATCTCATAAAATCTTGAACATTATTTATCCATTATTAGAATATTTTTTTTAAACCCCACCAGCAGCATCATTTTTAATTAATTATTAAAATAATAATGTTTCAGATAATTTGGTGCCAGCAGACTGTTTGGAAGTGATGTCGTTGGTTATGTGCATCATTCAACTCATGTTTGTCCTTTGCTCAACAAGCCAGAGAAACAACTCGGTCTTGCAGGTGGCAGATGTTCCTATTGTGAGGAGTTAACTTGTACCATCACTCAGTACAATAAATATGATCAGAAATTCATTTTATGATAAGAAATATTTAATGGCAAAAATGACCTGCTAAAAGATAGGTTTGTTATAATTGAGCTTTTGTTACCAACTGAATTTTCTTTTTTTCTCCAGACCTTGTAATCAAAGTAACTGGCTGAGGATAAAATTTATTAATATTGACAATAGTGCTTCAGTTTTGTGAAAATGTTTTTTCTTTACTGCAAAGGGAGTGTGTTGCTGTGATAAGTAGAATATTTCTAGTGACAGAAACACAAATTAAGCTTCTGTAATTTTAATATAATAAATTATTTATTGTTATAGGTGTCACCTGAACTTCTGGTAAAGAATTATTTGCAGGACTTTGTAAAGTTATTTATGAATAACTTTCCTTACTCAGTACAAGTGCTTCCTCAGACGATTAAGAAGAGGAAAAAGAACAAGGACTCCCAAAGTGTGGATAGCAATATAAATCAGGTTAGTAAAAAAAAAACAAAAAAATAATAAGTATGAGATTTAAAAATTTCTTAATTTTAATATTTTCATTGTGCCATTCAGCAGCTGACAATTACTTATTTAAACATTAATATGACAAATGAGAGGTTTACTTCAAATACTAAGTAGAGAAAGTAAGCTTGAAAGTTTTGCCTATGCTTTAAATAAAGCTTAAAACCTAAAAAGTGCTTTGAAAACAGTTTGTGGTAAACATAGTAATTACTAATATATACTTTCACAGTTCATTAAGTCTAAGTTTTCTAGAAATCATAGTGTTTAATTTTGTAAAGAAACATCTTTGTTAATCTTTCAGTCAACATTATTGGCACTGAATCTTGCAGTGTGTGATGTCATGTCTAGTTTTTGCTCAGACCTCACGCTCAAGCCTGGTCAAACTTGGATTAAAAAACTACAGGGCTATGTTATTCAATTCTTTCAAAGATCACCCAGTGTAGAGCAGAGCAAGACTCTCATCAGAGTAATGAAAAATATATTCATTAACCCCCATATATATGGTGAGTTTTTATTATGATACCCTCAAATTGGGAGGGGAAAGCAAAAAAATGAAGAAATGTATCTTTTTGAAATCATTTCTTTAAAAATCATTTAATCTTTTTTTATTTATTTATTATTTTATTTTTTTTTTAATTTAAATGTAAGGAAGCCTGTTTTTTTGTTGTTGTTAGGCTTTAAGTTTTTTATGCACATAGGCTTGGTGAGTATCTAAATTAATTTAATAATCACCTATTTTATATTGATTTTATTATCCTGGATTTTTTTCTTTTAATTATGAATTTAAAAAATAACCTCAGTAAATTAAAAAATGAAGTTTGATAAAATTATCAGATATAGTCATTCTAAAGTCGACTTTTTGGGGAAATATTTGAGGGGGAACAAGTGGGTGGAGATAATATAACAGCACTGTCTTTGAGTACCGATAATGAAATGTCAGATGGCCATATTTATGTGTGTCGTCAGCTTATTTACAAATGGGCTTTAGAAGAGTATAATCGGTATGAAGCAAAAACCTTATTTATTTTTTCCATCATTTCAGAGGTGTAAATATAAATAAATATTAACTCTAAGTAGTAAGGAATTGTTTTTTAAAATTTTTTTTTTTTACCTGCTTATTAATATATTATAAATTTTCTAAAACATAAAAAGCCCACTCATCTTATTTAAGTGCTTTTGCTGTTTCATTTAGCACAGGAATAGTTGTTGTGTTTTATATGCTTTGTGTTCAGTACATTGAAAGTGTTCCGAAAAGACACTCACTTATAATGTTTATAATATATCCCCCCCCCCCCCCCCCTTTTTTTTTTAAAGCTGATTTCACAAAAGCTTACAAGTTCACGTTGAAGCACTATATGACATGTAAAAAAATGGTTCAGAAACGTATGTTCTTCAACCTCTTTGCCTTCATGGGACAAACATGGGATGGATGGGAAAGAAATGATCATGGGCCTCAGTAAGTATCCAGTTACAAAATAAATTTAGACAGTGAGAGAAAATGACAGAATAATTGATTTAATTAGGTTGAGTGTTAAAGCACCCGAATAAACGTAGGGAATGATCCAAAAGAGCTAATTTGCAACAGTTTGGCATGAGTCAGGAAAAAATCAGCTTATCTGTGTCCACCAATACTAGCACATGAATGTAAATAGTTTAAGGATGAGCATTGTCTTCCACATAATTTATTTTCAATTTTTTAATTTTTTTTTTTTGAAGACCTCATTACAGATATGAATGTAATGGTGAAATAACAGCCATCCTTGAGGAGTTTTTTCAAAGTTTACCTGGTCTTTTGTTGGATGTTAAGAATTCAGGAGAAGATAAGCTTTGGTTGATGGAGATCTTAACTTTAATGTGCTGTGGATGTACACAGAGAAGCAGCAAAACATTCAAGGCTGCTCTTCATAGTAAATTAACTGAAATATTAGGTATGCCAAATCTTAGATATCAACACAGAATGAGTTGCTACTATGAATATCTTTTTTAAAATTTATCACCAACAAATTAAAATCAGAAAGTTCTAAAAAGGAAATTTAAAAAAAACAGGGACATATTTGTTTCTGTTTTCACACATCTTCAGATAATTAAACTTATGAATTGTTAAATTTAATATTATAGACTGGAAATGTTGCATTATATCATTTTATTTGCTTTTTAACAGCAAGAATGTTTAAAACTGAAGCTCTTTTAATGTTAGTACAATGTTAGTGTAATCAGTTTCATGGTCTTAGATTCCCAGACTGGAATTTTCTGCTATGAAGATGAACAGATTCAGCAGCGTCTATGCTTTCTTTTGTCACTTGGGGCTCCACTGAGTAGAGAACAACTTAAACAGCTACTACATTTGCTACGACATCCACGGGATAAACCAGTTATACTGCGAAGGAAATCCTGGAGCATTGTTGCTCATCTTATTCATGGTGTGATTTCAAACATAAAGTGAGATATCTTTAAAGCTTCAGACTCTTCAAAATTATCAGACCTGTTTACTCTTACGATTTTGGCGTACAATGTACGATTTTGAGGTGTATACATTATATATACAGCACGTTTTTGCTCTATAAAGAGAATGTATTGAACGATTATATGATGATATTGTACGATTTTAAGGGTTTGAGGGTAAACAGGTCTGAATTATACACAAAATTAATAGTTAAAATGATGCATTTTGAGTTTTACATTTATATTGACTAGTACAGGGGTCGAGAACCTTTTTGTCTGAGAGAGCCATGGACACCACATATTTTGTAAAGTAATTTTGTGAGAGCCATACATTATGTTTAAAACAAAAATTCAAGTAAATGCATGTTGTGTAATTTCAACACTAAAAATGTAATAATTATATCTCTGTATTCTTTTTAATAACATTGTTATGCTGTTGCTAATCAATAATGAGCATTTCTTACCATTAATGCGACTTTTTTTTTTATAATTGAACATTTGTCTGCGAGCCAGATGCAGCCATCAATAGAGCCACATCTGGCTCGCGAGCCATAGGTTCCTGACGCCTGGGCTAGTACCTAAATTTTATTGTTTAATCGTTTCATCTTATTTTTTGTTAAATGAATCAATTATTTATCTGATTCAGGGAGCAAGTGCCTCTAAATAATCAGGTCATCTTCAACAAGATGTCTCAGGATCAGCACAGTCAGTTATCAGACTACCTCCGGTTCATGTTTTCACTTCAAATTGGTACATTTATTTACATTTCGTCTTCTATAATTCTCATATTGTAAAATTAGCCTCATTGAAAAGTCCAAAAAGTTGTATTTATAAATCTCCTTATAAATTACTTAATTCAAACAGGCTCAATATGCAGTTTGATTTGTTAGCCCACATTTAGTTCGTCTTTTAGCTACCTTGCATTAGGTGGCAGAAAATTGTAAAATAAATGTTCAAACTGTGATTGTAACACCCAGGTTAAGCATGTCTGGTATAGTTATAGTCTGTAAGTGTTTGTATGGTGGTTTTATTTATTTTTTTTGCATTATAAGATAATAAATCTTGTTAACAAAAGCTTAAATAGACCTCATAATTAATTGTGGTTTTAGATAATGACTTTGATATTTAACATCTGCTGTTATATATATTTTTAAGGTATGATTGCAGAAGAAATGGATGGGTTTACACCCCCAGAATCTGATTTGAGTGAAACTACTAGATGGTTAAGCTTTGAATTCTCAGTTCAAGGAGACCAGTGGGAGAGGCATGTTGAAATAGCTAATGTAAGAATAAATGGATCTCTTTCTGAATTTTCAGACTTAAGAATTTTTTCTATTTTTTCTTATTAGGTCTCAGTGGTGCATGGCTTAAGACTGCTTTAGACTTTTGCTGTCTGAAAAAAAAAATGCAGCAAATGTCGTGTGAACATCCTCATTAATTTAAGTTTTTTAAAACTTGGAGATGCTACTCACTGTTCATTCCACACTTTTTATCATTGGGTCACCTTAAAACTAACTTAATTAGCACATGAGAAAAACCTCACATAGTTAAATAAAAAAATAGACATGCTCTTTGTTGCTTTCCAGTGCAGTGTTATAATGTTATCTTAACTCGAAAACTTTTTGAACTAATTTAGGACAATGACGCTTTCTATTTGCATGTCCTTAAAAATGGCTGCCAATGTTCACAATTGTACTATTAAAATATTTCAGAAAATTTAATTTATATTATTATTATTACAGTGGTATTATATAGCGCAGTACCCCAGACTAGGGCTGGGCTCACAAGGCTTCACCTAAAAATTTGCTAAAATAAACATGACAATTTTTTTTTTTTTTTTTATATTTATTTAAAAAACAGCTTTTTAGAAATATTGACCTCACCCACCCAAAAACTATTTACCTGTCTAGCCATGGAGGGGACCCAGCAGCATCAAGCATCGTTTCTCGGTCAAAAATTTATCCCCAATCATTTGCAGGATTAACAAAGCTTAAGAGACCTGTGTTTCAGAAAACTTGATGTATGTTCATTTGTCATTCAGTCTATAAATGTATATATTTGATGGAGAGTTTGTAAAATTGAAAAGAATTTGTTTGGTTATTTCCCAGATTGTGGCTAAAGAGTTGGCCAATTTTCACATTCCTGCCAGCCTGTCAAATGGTTATCATCAGGTATTTACATTTACAAGTAACATGGAACAACTTTGGAAGTCAACATTGGTATGTTAATCTTTATTTAATAACTTACAAATATTTTGATTGCTTGTTGGTGATTAAAGTTTCTTTTTTTTTTTAAAAAAAGACTGTTTAAAGTTATTTATACAACAGCAGTCTCTGCATTTTGTGGAATAAAATAATTTTTAAAACCATTTAACTAAAGCTATTTTTGTTCCATTCCCTCAGGCCAATAGACCACACATTCATATTTTATCAGCCTACAGTCTGATCAAATATTTGTATGAAACATCCTTCCCTCATATTACTGTTAAACCTAGCACAGAATTTTATCAAGAGGGTTCGCTTGTCATTGCCTCTGTGTTGTCAAGTCTCTTCTGTCGTGATGTTGCTCATAAAATGCCTAGTGAAGAAATGGTGTGGCTGATCAAGGCAGATATCATTGAATGTCTTACAATGAATTCTTCCTTACTGGAACTTGTCTTGAAGTTGCTGACAGCAAGATCCCTAGGTAAGTTCTCTGGCTTCTCAAATCTCAAGATACTTTTTCTTCATCTTCTTTTTCTTCTATATATTAAGGGCCCAAGATCAATTGATTCCAGTATCTGCAAACAAACATTACAGCTATTTTTGGATTAACTAATAGTGGATTTTCAGTCCTGTGCTTCAGCAGTTGAGTTTTTTTTTACTCAGGGATTACCTCACCAGACCTGTTTACTTGTACAATTTTGACGTACAATTTATGATTTTGAGATGTCCTTTACAATTTTACGCCGAGACCCGTCACAACTATGATTTTGAGAGTCCGGGTTGAAAATATAAAAATTCTGATATATTTTTTTTCGATTTAAAAACCTGCAGTTAAGAGCAGTGATATGCCACAGTGGTTGTCGCATGATTGACAGTTCCCTTTGCGCTTGTACATCTTTGAAGTCCCGTGGAATGGTGTCTTGGTGCCACATAAGTATGAACAGCTGGAGAAGACAGAGCTGTCCCAACTAAGACTTCTTTGTATACTTATGACAGGATTGAGTCTTCACCTGGTGCTGTGCCGATTGAGAGAAGGCATTTAGCATGTTGGGTCTCAGTTAGGGTAGGGGGTCTTCCAGTTCTTGATTAAACGGCGCCTGTATGACACAATTTATGGCTTCATAATTGATGGATGAAGGTCGATTCAGGATATATAAGGGGGGGGTTCCCAAATATTTAATTCTATACATATCAACACCATCACATTTTCGTAATCATAGGGGGAAGGGGTCGTCTCGGTAGAAAGTAAGTATGTTATTCAAAAACTGCAATGTTCATCCAAAAACTCTGTAAATCCAAAAATAGAATATTTAAATCTCGAGGGCTATAAACATATCACGCAATGCTTTGTACGAATTATCGTCATAATGTTGCCATGTATTGTCACAAATGAACTCGCTACATATAGTCTGATAGTACTCAGTAGTAGAGGTATTAAGTAATATTTTGTCCACTATATGTTCAACGTACATGTGACATATATTTTGTTGGGCTACACCAACGCATCTAAATATTTTGCTTCCCGATTGGCGCCTATGCCAAATTAAGGTTTTCACCAGGCTCTCTGTGTTAAATTCTAACAAGTACACTCTGAAATAGCGAATACATAAACTCATAAATAAAATAAAATAAAGGTTTGAGCAAAAATAAATAAAACCCTTATGTAGGTCACAAACCACCATCTACTAACCGCAAACAGTAGTTACTCATGTGGGTTACTGTTTGCACCACTGGATTAAAAATGGAGATAAAATTATGAAAATGTTGCAATATTTCGCAATGCCCCCGTGAGGAAACCGCAGCAACCCATATAGAAAAATGTGCCCTCCCACCCACCCACCCTCGCCGGACCAGTAAAAGGACTATTTTTAGCTCACTTTGTCTTTGTGAAGCAAATGGGATTTTATAGTTTAATTAATTATTAAGGTCCTTTTTAGACAATTTTTGCGCCTGTTGCTCTTCGCCCCACTCTCATGGCCCTGCACGAGGGCAACGAGCCCCCAAGGCCATGCGGCTTATAATCTAGGAACCATTTTTAGCACGGAACAGCCAGTAGTGAAAACCCATTTTACATTTTGTTTATTAATGTATTTGTAACATCATAATTATACAAAGATTATTGTGTGATTTTTTTTTTGGCGTGGGGAAAGCCCATTGTACATGCACGGGCGGGGGAGGGGGGGGGGTGATAAAAAAGTGCGTGTGCAATGGGGGGGGGGGTAGAAATTTGACTTATTTTGTAAGTACTATATAGATGGTCCCTCCTCGTGTTTGTTTGCTTGGGTGATGCATGCTGTAATTTTATTCTTACGGCTGAACCACGGTAAGAAAACAGAAATAACTGGAGAATGCATTCTCAACTGGTCTGCGCAGTAATATTAGATTTTGACTTATTTTATAGGCTAAGGGGTCCATTTAAACCTATAAATAGAATGCGCAAAACAGCTGTATGATTTTTAATATTCCCTCTTCCTTTCACCCATTTACAGCTTTTGATCCTACTTCAAGTTTTAACTATGTCAAATTTCACCAGTAATTTTTTTTTACCAGTGATAGACTGGGATAATGTGATCTGCATGTTCACCTAAATATTAATTGATGAACAAAGTGATAGCAGATACAAAACAAAGTGACCACAGATAGCAATATAAACGTCAGTCATCTACTTTTAAGGCCAGCTTAACTCAATCCCATTAGACGCGCAATGCCAGTAGTTATACGTTGTATATACTGTATGTTTATTTATTATTTACAATGTTAACTATTAAGATAGCCGTATTGTATCGTACGATTTTTTTACTATCTTGTACGATTTTAGGTGTTTGAGGGTAAACAGGTCTACCTCACCCCTCCAGCAAGTAAATCTGGGAACAGCCTCTGATAAAATTAAACCTGCTTTCAAAGTTTCTAAATAATTTTCTTTTGCTTACACTATAAAGTGAACAGGTGGAAACAGAACATTATTTTTATTTTTTTTTAAATATTCTTTTAAAGATAAATTTATAGCTGTTTTAGTTGCATTTCAAAATAATAATTACACATTACTTTAAGACATTTTTCAGTCAAGCTGTGTAAGCAGTAATAATTATATCTATCTTGTAGGGTATGTCCTTCTATGTTTTGTTATGTATATAATTATATTTAAGTTTAATATCTTTTTACCCCCTTTTTTTTTTTAACAGGAGAATATAAAACATCTGAAGATGAGAAGCAAGCATCAAAGACCGCCATTGATTTTCTTTACTCCAATGACTCAATAAAGTCAAAGATCCTTGACATGAAAAATATGCAAGCGTAATTACCACCTGCTATTGGCAATAGTACTTTTGTAAATCTTTCTTTGTTCGAAGCCGAGAGATGGAAAAAAATAATGCTGTAGGGTGTGGCATCAATTTGGAGTGTCGCCAGTGTAGTTTGAAATTATTGTAATTTTAAATAAAAATATTAATACAATAGATATCAGTGAAAGTTTTTGAGCATGTTTACACATGTGCCAGCTTGGTTAAAAAGACACATTTTAAACTGTGTTTAACTGAACTAAAGTTCTTCATTCAGATTTTAGCCCCTAACAGACCTTGCAGGATGTATGGCCATGTTTGCGCGTCTGCTCTATTGTAAATTTCATTGTTAAACACTATATGTAAAGTTTAATTAAAAAATAATAAAGCAACTTTAATGTCAACCAGATCATGATAAAAAAATGTGAAATGAATTCAGTGTATTTTATTGGGGTTTTTTGCCATGGAAATGACTTACTTGGCTTCTGTAATAAAAAATGCTCCATCTGGAGTCAGGAGAAATATACTTAATTGCTTAACTTTATTTATAACATGGTAACATAAACTTTGAACTTCTTTATTTGAAGCGGTAAGCTATGCAGCAGTAGTACCTGATGCCTTGCAAAAGACCTTTGCGATCAATCATCATATCATTGAATCTGCAGTCTGAATTTGATATTTTATGTTTGGGAAAATGGGGTGAAGTTATAGTTATATGTGATCCTGGTAACGTAGTGGTATGGGTAGAATAAGTGCTACAGTAGGTGGGTGAATAGTCAAGTGAGCAATGTAGACCAGTTGGGATGAACTGGTTCTCCAATAGTCAAGTGAGCAATGTAGACCAGTTGGGATGAACTGGTTCTCCAATAGTCAAGTGAGCAATGTAGACCACTGGGGACAAACAGGTTCTCCAATAGTCAAGTGAGCAATGTAGATCACTGGCAAAGAACAGGTTTTCCAATAGTCAGGTGAGCAATGTAGACCACTGGAGATGAACAGGTTCTCCAATAGTCAAGTGAGCAATGTAGACCACTGGAGATGAACAGGTTCTCCAATAGTCAAGTGAGCAATGTAGACCACTGGAGATGAACAGGTTCTCCAATAGTCAAGTGAGCAATGTAGACCAGTTGGGATGAACAGGTTCTCCATAGTCAAGTGAGCAATGTAGACCACTGGAGATGAACAGGTTCTCCAATAGTCAAGTGAGCAATGTAGACCAGTTGGGATGAACAGGTTCTCCAATAGTCAAGTGAGCAATGTAGACCACTGGAGATGAACAGGTTCTCCATAGTCAAGTGAGCAATGTAGATCACTGGAGATGAACAGGTTCTCCATAGTCAAGTGAGCAATGTAGACCAGTTGGGATGAACAGGTTCTCCAATAGTCAAGTGAGCAATGTAGACCAGTTGGGATGAACAGGTTCTCCAATAGTCAAGTGAGCAATGTAGACCACTGGGGACAAACAGGTTCTCCAATAGTCAAGTGAGCAATGTAGATCACTGGCAAAGAACAGGTTTTCCAATAGTCAGGTGAGCAATGTAGACCACTGGAGATGAACAGGTTCTCCAATAGTCAAGTGAGCAATGTAGACCACTGGAGATGAACAGGTTCTCCAATAGTCAAGTGAGCAATGTAGACCACTGGAGATGAACAGGTTCTCCAATAGTCAAGTGAGCAATGTAGACCAGTTGGGATGAACAGGTTCTCCATAGTCAAGTGAGCAATGTAGACCACTGGAGATGAACAGGTTCTCCAATAGTCAAGTGAGCAATGTAGACCAGTTGAGATGAACAGGTTCTCCAATAGTCAAGTGAGCAATGTAGACCAGTTGAGATGAACAGGTTCTCCAATAGTCAAGTGAGCAATGTAGACCAGTTGAGATGAACAGGTTCTCAAATAGTCAAGTGAGCAATGTAGACCACTGGAGATGAATCCAACACGTGACTGTAATCAGCTTAAATCGATGTAACTTGTAACTAACATTTGGGTGGTCAAACAGGGTGTGAGATTTTATCATCAAATTTCCATACTAACACTGCTAACAGATTTCAATAATAACTATCTTCAAGTGTAGGGTTCTCTTTGTAATACAATCATTAATACACATGAGTTGACAAATTCTTTAAAAAAATGAAAATCCATTGTTTTTGTAGAGAGTGCGAGACATTTAAACGGCTCTTAAGAGAATAAATAAATGAAGGGACTGCTTTCAAGCTATGTAAAAGAATGAAATAGTGAAACGAGGTTGTATTTTGTTGTATTTTCATTTCTTTTGTTGGCTGATGAAGGCTTTATGCCGAAACGTCCTTGTTTTTTGTCCTGTTACCTTTTTTCAAGCTTCCACATACCTTGTTTCACTATTTCATTCTCTTAAGAGAAGCAAAGTATGTTTCAAAATTGCGGAAACTTTTTTCAATCACATTAAAATTGTGACATTGGTTTGAGAAGGCTCAAACCTATGTAGATTGTAGATCTCCTTAACAACTTGAGAGCCATTCTTTCTACAGCAATAATCTATATCAAGACAATCCTATTTGTTCTCCCTGAAAGAAAAGAGGGGGGGGGGAGGGGCAGGTGAATCACTATTTTATTCATAAAAGAATCTGAACTGTTCAATGAAGTGTAACTCCCCCACCTACATTGTTCAACATATAATTAAAATATTTACTGATACTGATACATTCCTTTAATCCGAGTCAATCGCTGTCACGCATATTATGACAGGGTAGTCATTTTCCTACAAGTAGAAAAAAATTATAGATCTTGATGAAAAGTACGTGTTACGAAAAAAATAAGGCAGTAACAGTATAGTAAATGTTGTTAAATGTTAATTACTGGGTACTAGACTAGAAAAAAATCTTTGAATTCTTTCCCCTTTTGAAATTTAATAATATATTTTTTTTAATATTTAGACTATATATTTACATTATAATTTATAATGCCTTACAATTACTTTGTTAAAATCAAAATATTGGTAAATGGGGAGAATACTAGAGCAATGTAAAATAAGAACCTTAGTAGCTTTATCTTTGACGTCAAGCAGAAGTTTTATTTTAAATTATAGAGGATTTTTGCACAATTAAGGTTATAAACATGAAATTGCTGACGTTGAGGTTAACCAGTGGCGTATATCTGGGCATAGTTGAGCCTATGCCATTCGCTTTCCACCATTTTTCTTTTTTCAATTCCTCACACCTAATTGTCGATCCGTCCAAAGAAAAAAAATAATTAAACTATATAATTTACATAATTGTTTCTTTAATAAGACATTATTATTTGATACATATGAGTTTAATCAGCGATCTCTACACGTGACCACTGCTTACACTTCACAACTTTGGCGCCATATCGTTATACTTGCCAATAAACAGTGTTTTAACGTAATGGCACAATGTCACCAAGGAACAGTCCTAAATCACATTTTGTTTTGATCTTAATATTTTGGGGGAGATTGTTTTCGGAAGTTAAATATGTGTGTATATATATGTGTGTATTTATATGTATATATATATACATACATACATACACGTTGTACAGAACTTAACAAACCCCATTAATGAGATCGCTCCTACTGCAGCCATCTACAGTATACATAGGCTACACCACCAAGTTGAGTAAATGTGCTGCACGCAATCTAATGTCATTTATTTTGGCAATAATGAGCTTGAAGTCGAGGCATAATTCTGCACGTTCATAAGACTGTTCTCTCTCGAGGTTTTGAAGTCAATGCACCAAAGAAGATCAAAACAGTGGTAGCCAGCGATTGGGCAATGTGGCTGGCTATGGGGATGAATGTGAGAAACCGTTCAGCCACTTCACCGTCGGACGTCCCAACCAATACGAACCTGTTCAGCCACTTCACCGTCGGACGTCCCAACAAATCCGAACCTGTTCAGCCACTCCTATCAGTTAATGTCACCGTGCTGTGTGTTCAAAGATGACGGTCGATTAAATGTGGCCCTTCGATAATTACCGTCGTAAGAAAATTTCACGGCTTTGATCGAGTTGTTTACCATACTTCTTTCTTTTCTCCCTCTAATTTACATAACTTGTTATGTATGGAAATATCCCAGATGCCCGTCACTTCTGTGCATTACGTCTTTTCACAAATATTTACGTTCACGATCACAACACGAAAAAAAAAAATATATATTTTTAAAAAAGCGATCTTTTATTGCGGAGCCCCTAAGAGGCGCAGGTCCCACAGGGTCTTTAGGCTTTTTAATGGCAATGCGGCTCTTCTAGGCAAAGTAAACACAATTTGAATAGTTTTCATGACGTCCAACAGCAACACAAATGTAACTTGATCAGAAACTGACAAAAACTAAGCCGTGCTTAACAAATGGCAGTTTACGCCTGGATGATTCAAGTAGAAGTTTACTGTACAGTAACAAAACAACGTATTTATCTCGATACGCTCTGCTGATCAAATCTATTGTCTGTCTTAACAATTGGCTTCGAGAAGAGCTAGTTAACCGGGGCCACGTCAGGACAAATCGTTTTTGAACTAATGAGTTTGATAGCAGATGACGTCAAAAAAAAAAAAAAAAAAGATCAATATTGTACCGTACAATTAAAAATATTATTAAAAAAGCAAGGTTAATCACATATTTAATTACATTTAATACTAAACACCCATTGAGATGAAGCAAAGTAAGCAGTTAAGTGTAGGTGTATAATTATATAATGTTATAGTAGTGGAGTTTTGGCTGTGTTTGCTACTGTAGAATGAATTAAATACAGTCGCAGTTGTTGATTGGGGTTGGGGAGGGGGGGGGGTGCAATTCTTATATAGTTTCACTGTGGTTGGTTAACTTCTCTAACATCTCGCAGCCCTAAAATTGAATGTGCGTCGCCGATGCGAATTCGGTCATCGTGACTGTGGAAGGAAATATTGTACGGGACTTCATTCAATTTTGAGGGATTTTTTTTTTTCAAACCACTTTCTTCGAAATTTACGAAAACTTAAGCTATTTCCAAAATGGAACTTATAATCCTATTTCCTGGAAGTCTCCATATGTCGTCGGCTATGAGCCCTTGTTGTAGGAAAAGAGGTGGGGTGCATGGGCGCCCGCAGGGGGGCAAGGGAGGGGACTCCCCCCCCCCCCCCCCCTTGGATTGATTGGATAAAAATTTTTTTAGACAAAAATAGACAAAAATGTATTAAAATAAAGAGAAAATAAAGAGAAAGTAACTAAGCTGATGTCCTGTCCGTTCGTTCACCGTACAAATACGCTACAGTAAATTAAATCCACAGTAAAACATTACTAAAAAATTTTTTTGCCCCCCCCCCCTGGAAAGTTAATCGATTTTTGTGCCCCCCCTAGAAAGTTTTCTGCGGGCGCCCATGGTGGGGTGGGAGGTGCGATCAGCCAAGGTTGGCATTTTTTTTTCTATGGAGGGGAGGCATTTTCAGGGTCGTTCACCGTTTTTCAATCAAATAATAACCCCTACGGCGGATATGGTTTTCATCTTGAACTAAGTATCATTATTATATAGTCTAATTTACACGGTAGTCTAAGCAC